CTTAGGGGCAGGTCGAAACAATGAGGGCCTGAAAATGGCCCTCCGTTTCAGGCTGAAAACTCTGGGTCTGAAAAGACCCAGAAATAGGCTGAAACGAGGTAGGGCCTGCAGGCCCTCGTTTTTTCAGCATCCAGGCTGAAACGAACGGGGCCTGTAAGCCCTAAGTTTTAGGCTTTTAGGCTGAATGTCCGGGACGGGCCCTGCAGGGCCCATGTGGCTACGCAGTATGCCACAAAGAGGGAACTTCGGATATTGATTCTGGTTCATCCAGTCATTGTTGTTATTATTATTTGGAGAAGAATAAGATTGGCGAAGTGAAGTAGGAGGAGGAAGGTGGAGAGAGAAGGGGGGATTTGTCATTGGTCTGCTGGTGTACATCTTCTTCTTCTTCTTCTTCTTCTTCTTCTTCTTCTTCTTCTTCTTCTTCTTCTTCTTCTTCTTCTTCTTCTTCTTTCTCTCTTCTTTGGTCTCTATCTCTTTGCAAGTGCCTTCATTTCTTTCGCAATTGGGTGGCATTGTCTTGCATTGTGAATTTGCACTTTGGGAATGACCAGGATCGTAACAGTTTTGTTTTGTTTTTTGCAGCGGTGTCGACAGCTACACCAGACGCAGTTGTCAGACTGTGCTTTCTGCCCATCTTCTGAATCTGGTCAGAGCCATCGCCCCCGTACTTCCACACATGGCTGAGGATTCCTGGCAGTGCATGTCCTTCCCTTTGCTGGGTAGGGAGGGAAAACCGGTAGAGACAGTTTTCGAGTCGCGTTGGCCGCCAAAGGAGCCAGTGTGGGAAACTCTCTCCGAAGACGAGAGACGGCTTTGGCCCGTCCTTTTGCAAGTAAGTGTGTGCAGTTGTCCTGTGGGTGTTTCAGCCCAGTGTATGCTTCACGTCTATGGCGCTGATTAGCGACAGTTTTTGGCGTGCTGCGTCACTTGTTGTTCGTGCTCTTCATTGAATATTCATTCTAAGGGCATACTCACACTAGGCCCTTATAACAGCAGAATCGCAAAATCAGTGGCCAGATCGCGTCCTTATAAAAGGAGGACTCGATCTGGAGGCCCCTAAATTTGTGATTCTGTGATTTGAAGGGCGTAGTGTGAGTATAATACTCAAATATTGGTGCGCTCGGGGGTTTCTATTGTATTCTGCTCTCATAATATATATATATATATAGTCTGCTTTGATTTTCGCCACATCTACCTTAAGGGAAGTGGTTGGTGCCCACCTCAGGGTATCAGTTGTCGGGCAGTCATTGATGCTTAACCACAACCGGGGTTAAGGTGGATTATCACTTACAGGGTAATCAGTTAGGGGATTCTGCGGACTATTGAGGGTTCAGCCTGCTAATGAGTCAGTGAAACTCCGACAACACAGTTTGTCACAGCCCCTCGTTTGTTGTCCTCTTCTCCCTCTCTGCCTATGGTTTACGGGGCACCTCTGTTTTATGATATATATATATATATATGACGATATATAGTGAAACTCCGACGAAACAGTTTGCCACAGCTCCTCGTTTGTTTTCCTCTTCTCCCTCCCTCTCTGCCTACGGTTTACTGGGCAGCTCTGTTTGATATATATATATCTGTTTGTGACGATATATATATATATATATACAGGGTTGCCGGCGATATATACAGGGTTGCCGGCGTTCGGGACGGGCCGAACACCCGAACCCGAACGCCCGAACGTTCGGGACCCCCTCTCGACGCGTTCGGACGTTCGGCCAAACGCGGAACCAAAAAAAAAAAAAAAAAAAAAA